TACTTTGATCTAACTAAGATTTTACCGTATGTTAAGTCCAGCTGGAAAGTGAACCCCATCAATAGTCTCCAGTCTTTTTAAGTGTTTTTCATCCAGTACCATACAATGTTAAACTTAATCTTTGGCCAGCTTCTTCCTGCAGAGAGGCATCCCCACACCATGAGCCTGCCTCTACACAGTGGAGAAGTGTGATTTGGAACAAAGTAAAGGGGGCTGGATATACATGAATAATGCACTTTTTCTTTTATTATTTGCACACAAAAAAAGATAAACACTTTATATCATTGTTCATTTAATTCATGATGATCAGTTATTTGGCTTTGTACTTCCACATAAGATCCTAATAAACAACTAAGTCAGTGCAGTTGTAATGCGATAAAGGCTTGAAAAGGCTTAACAGGTTTAATACTCGTGCAAGGAACTGTCAGATTATCTTACGATGATTAACAGTGATTTTGTGTTTGCAGGACAAATAATCCACCCCTAATTCCAAGGATTAGTTTGACAACTGTTACCAAAATCATGGCTTAAAAGTGTAGAAAATAAAGGTGGTGCTGCCATTTGTAGAATCATTTTTTTTCCCCCTGTTCTGAAAATTTGCTTCTGTAACTGCAAAGGTTGGTCCAGTGCAGAAGCTTTGAGTCTGCTATTTACCAAATACAATAAATGTTAGTCCTCAACCTTTTATCCAGACACATTCTGCTGCTGAGGATTTCAGTTTGCAAAACAAGAATACTGTCTTTTTCAACCGTGAATGTCACTAGCAACTAGAAATTTGTCTTTTCTTTGTGAGCTGTCAAACAACAGAAGATCCATAAATCATGCAGGCAAGTGACAAATGTATTGTTTTCTCTGTGTATTTTTTCACAGATGGTGTTGTGAATCTTTTTCCTTCCTTTATCTGAGTAGGAAGAGCCTTTGTAACCATTCTTTGAGCAAAATTACCAGGAAAACATGACAACTCAAAAACCCTCACCGTTTGATGCCATTTTCCAAAAACAATAACTTAGTCACTGAACCATTTTAAGTGAAGTCACATAGGTGTAGAGACACGCTTCTACTCATTAAAAAGAACATGAGCGAAACGAGTGCTGGCACCCTTTAGGGAAACTAAAGTGAGTGTGCATAATGTAATTTCAGAAATGTTCCACTTGAGGTTTTCTCATTATCGTACATTAATCTCTTAACATGCCCCATGTGGGTCTATCAGATCATTTCCTCTGATGAAATGTCTATAATTTTGTCTGGCATCATTTTTCCTGAGCTAATTTATCGGATCATTTTATTCATGGGGCCAGACTAACTCAACTAATGTGCATGTTTCAGATCTCTGTTGAAACCTCGCATTAGCAGCAGACTGCAGTACTTCCAAAAGACACAGATTCATTAAGACTACTGGAGAATCATTTGCTTTCTGATAACAGTTAAGAATATTTCCTCATGCATGCTGCAGATTTGCATTTTATTAGGATCAAACAAATGCTTGATTAGATAACAGATTATGAATTGGTTTTTCCATTGATACATGTTTGAAATATAACTATTAAAAGCAAGGTGAGCCCCCAGCATCTATAAATCTGTTTGGTTTCTGAATATAGGAAGGTGAGGCAGCATAGATCATTTGCACTACATCTGACTGCAGGTTAAGAGCATCATGCCCCCTGAGAAATATTTTTTTATATGCTGACAAAAAATTCAGCTATCATCAAATACATGACCTAGAGAAAAACCGGACAAAACACTAAAAACAGGCCCACATCTATCATCTATAACCAAGGCATTGATGGCAGCATCCTAGCTGTTATTGCTCTTCAGGATGCTGGGGAAGATTCTCAGTAATCCAGGTAGTCATTCCAAGAATTTTTTTTAAAAACAATCCACTGTACTTTGTTTCCAAGTTTGAAGATATTTCGCTTCCCATCCAGGAAGCTTTTTCAATTCAAAATGTCAGAAATAGCGTTGAGTTCGAGGCTTTATACAGTAGCCCATTCTGTCTGTAAAAATTATCCCTGAACTTGAAATAGGTCGTGGAAAGACAAAGGTCCAGTAGGGTGCCGATCTGGTCCAGAGTGAAATTAGTCCTGTTTTTTAGGTCACTGTCTTGTTGAAGACGTTTCCTGACTGTTTCTACTGCCTCTGATATTGGTATTGGGTTACTGTATAAAGACTCAACTCAACGATATTTCTGACATTTTGAATTGAAAAAGTTACCTGAATGGAAGCAAAACTTCTTCAAACTTGGAAAGAAAATCCAGTAGATTTATTTTCCCACTTTTTTTGGAATGCTCTTCAGGATGTTGTCGCAGTCAAACAGGAACAGACTAGATGAAGCGGCTTTGACGAGAGAAGCAAAGTACGTAAATGCCTGGTTTTAACTAACAAATATTGCAGAATGGGAGAATAGAGGTAGAATGCAGCAGAAATATGAAAAAGGGTCCCTATGTCCTCCGGCAGTCTAAGCATATAGCAGCATAACTATAGAGATAGCTCAGGATAACCTGAGCCACTCTAACTATAAGCTTTATCAAAAAGGAAAGTTTTAAGCCTAGCCTTAAATGTAGACAGGGTGTCTGCCTCATGGACTTAAACTGGTAGTTGGTTCCACAGGAGAGGAGCCTGATAACTAAAAGATCTGCCTCACATTCTACTTTTAGAAATTCTAGGAACCACTAGTAAACCCGCAGATTGAGAATGAAGGGCTCTGTTAGGAACATGAGGAACAATCAGAATTTTGTGTTAATAGATGGGGCTTGGTTATTTAGGGCTTTCCGTGTGTGAAGGACGATTTTAAATTCTATTCTTGATCTAACAGGCAGCCAATGAAAGGAAGCTAAAATACAGTAGGAGAAATGTGATCTTGCTTTCTAATTTTCATCAAAACTCTGGCTGCAGCATCTTGGATCAGCCGGAGGCTTTCGACTACAGTTTGTGGACTTCCTGATAGTAAAGAATTAAAACAATCTAGCCTTCAAGTAGTAAATGCATGGATTGGTCTCCCAGCATCACTCTGGAAAAAATATTTCAAATTTTTACATTTTTCCAAAGGCGAATGAAAGAAATTGTAGAAACCTGTTAGTTATGGGATTTAAATAAAAAGTCATTTAAGGTCAGCATGCAGGTTTATTTATTTATTTATTTATTTTTTTTACAGCATTAGATGGGAAAATTATGTTTAACCTTGTTTTATGTTAAATGGAGGTAGACATTTTATCAAAGTTTTTTTATAAATACATTATCATTGTTGCTGTTATACTGTAAGGTCAGCATGCAGGATTTAAAGATAAAAACAGAGCATTTCAGAATATAACAGCTTTAATTTGATATCGTTTCATCAATAAACAAAAGAAAAAGAAAAACCTGGTTTCAGTGTTAATGTTAATGTTGTTGCAATTCCACACAGATGTCACTAGAGGGCAGCCAAGGACAGTCCACCAATAGATATAGGAATTCTACAACTACCGTTTGATGTATTTGTTTTACACAAAGAGAACAAATATTTTTATTCATTAAGAATGAAATAAAATGGACATAATACGTCAAACTTCCCAGCCTCGTTTGAAATGTATAAGATAAGAATGCTTTCCTTATGCTAAACTTGTTTTTACACAAACCTTCTGCTACACAAGGACAATTAATATTTTGTGTATCTTATAACTCCACAAAAACGTATCATGGTCTTTTGGTCATTGCTGAGAGTATTTTCCTTTGGGAACATTTATTGTAAGTTTGGGAACCATTGGCATTTCAACATAAACTTTATTGAAGGCGTCCTACACCACGCAGCCATCTACAAAATGCACCAGATCAGCTTATTTATGTGGTCCCATTTATATCTGATGGCACTTTAAAAAAACATAGTTGTAAATAGAAACGTGACATAATATAGTCATATTTCTCTGTCCGGTTTAATTCTAATCACATGAATTAATTTAAAACTCAGTTTTGATACATTTTAGTCAAATGCATTTTATATGGTCAATTACAGCTTTCTACAACGGCTACTTTAGTTGCATTGATTGGTTAACCTCCCTGCAACTGCTCAAAATGGGCATCCAATATGTTTAAATGTAATATTGTCCTATTTTCCTACATTGTTTTGTACAAATCAAACACTTCAGTTGTATTTCTGCTTTTCTTTATGATACAGCATCACTGTTTTCAACCATTTATCTCATCATGACATTTAGGTTTAGAGCTTAAGACCTTTATATCCTTAGGATAAATACTTTCGAATTCTAAATCTGAAGGTATATGTCATTATTTGCCTGTAAAGACAGAATTAATTGCTGCATTGCTATTACTATAAAATTAAATGCTTTAAAGCGATGTGAAAGATTTAAATGTACTAATTTAACTTTACAGTTTACTTTAAGAACAGGTCAGACAGATAAGGGAGAAAGTTGTGCATATGTTGAAAGCAAGATTAGTTTAAAAGATAATATCCCAAGTTTCACACTGCAAAAAAAATCTAGAAATAAGTAAAAATTATTAAATTGAGTGTATTTACCCCTAATTTGAGTAGGTAAATAAGATTATTTGCCAATGGAATTAGTACATTTACTCTTAAAATAAGATAATTATATAATGTCCACTTGAAATAAGACAATGCAATTGTTTTTTCTTATTGGAAATGTAAATTGCCTTGTTCCATCGGTAAAGTGTCTCACTTACCTCAGTTGAAGAAAAAAAATCCCTTATACTAAGAAAATCTGACTTATTCATATTTCTATTTTTTGCAGTGCAAACAACAGATTAAATGCACATAAGTCCATCTTTAATATGAACATTTAGAACGTGGATCCACTGCAGAGCTACCAAGGCATGGTCATCCTAAACTGACAATGATAGATCTGGAGGAGCAGCAATTATTTCAGCTTAGGTGAAACTGGAAGGACAAACAGGTAAATACCATTATAATTAAGAATATTTGATGCAAGTTACTATAAAATATCATATGGATAAAGCTTTGGTTAAATGACATAAGAAAAACTGGATTCTCATTCAGGTCAAGCACCCAGAGAACTTTAATCTGTTTACAAAACATGCAAACAAATACAAACTCTTTAACATGTGAAAAATGAGACCATATAAAAGCTTAAATATGCTGAATGAGAAATAGTGTCAACAGACAAAGAACAAATAAGTATATTTTTAACAAATCTCCACCACTTCAGTAAAGCAGACAAAAGTATCTCAGATTTGATACAATGAGGCAGCGTTAATCAACGATTCCCCCCCCAGGAATATTATAACAACCATAACAGCAACTCACAAGGTTCAAAGTGCTGATGTTTCACTGCTTTGTGCTCCGTCTCTTTTTACAAGGAGTCACCATAAAAGGGGAGACCTGAGCCAGCAACATGTACCCACAACATGAACACAAGGCTTCGCATGGTACGGAATGTCAATCATTGGGAAACAATAAAGACAATATCATGTAAGAAACATCCACATCGACAAACTGCAATAGTTTAGTCAGAATGTGTCAAAGAAATCCCTTCAGTCATTATTTCTTTTAAAAAAACACGAAATCAAACATGTCAAGTAGTTATTTAGGTAACATCTGAACATGGCTGCCATGTGTGATTCCGTTTATTTACTCCTTTAGTGTGTATAAAAATCCGAGCCAGCGCAGTAAGGTGAAACTTGTTCTTCGAGGATGAAAGTGGATGAAAAAAATGCTGATTGTAAGCAATTTAAGACATGTAGGTCCAAAGAACACAGTTTGCGGTCCAAACATTTTTCTACTGAGTAACATTGAAAATTTTATCAACAGAATGAACTGAACCATTTCCTTGGTGGTATGGGATAATATTTAAAATGTAATGATTAAAGAAGCATTTCAGCAGAAAGACACCAGCTGCAGAGAAACATCTGTACAATCATTTATCTTTTCTCTTATGTTAACCTCTTCACATTTTTCAAGACGATTTTTTTTTCTTACTAAAACAATATTCCCTTTAACTTCCTCTTATGAACTCCTCCTTCAGGTTCAGGGTTAACTGAGCCCGGCATCTTAGCTGTCTGTGGAGCCGCTGCCCTTGTTCTTATTGCGGCTGAGAGGGAAGGTGGACTTGCTCTGCGGCTGGGTCATCTTGCTGGCCAAGTGGACGAAGGGTTCGATGAGCGTGCGTCGGTCAACCACCGACACCTCCCACAGACGCACCTTCTCGTTCTTCGCCCAGTCCTGAGCATAGTTAGCATTGATTCTCCTTTCCTCCTGCTTGTCAAGCTTGTTGCCCAGTACGATGATGGTAACCTATGAGTGTTAAAGGAATACCCGGGCATGAGTGAAATCTTGGTAACAAGTTAAAGCCAACTGTGCACTTATGTGCTGCCTTATTTAAATGGAGCTGAAATGCAATAATGATATATAAATCTCATCTTTAAAAAATATATTTTTCATACACTAGAAACCTGTGTTACAATGCATCTTAGTCTTTAAATTGAAGTCATATGAATTACAAATAGTCTACTTATTAAGGCTAGCATAGGCTGGTATAAATGTTATATTAAGCTACAAGAACAGAGTAGCTAGACATAAAAAAAAATTCCTAAATAAATGATTCAGTTTTTACCTCTTTCTTGTCTCTATGACGATCAATGTCTTTCTTTAGCACCTCCATTCGCTTAAAGGACTCTTTGCTGTCGATGCTGTAAACGAGTACAAAGCCATCGGCAAAACTATAATAATGACGAGGAAACTCCATCCCGTCCCGGAGGCCACGAGTATCGTAGAAGCGCACTTGCTCCCGTGTTCCCCGGTCTGTCTCAATGGAGCCAATGTAAATATCCTCGAGGGTCTCCATGGGCTCTGAACCTACAAAGGGGGACACATAAAAACCATGTATTTTCACTTTATTGGTTAAACTTAAAGCTGGACAATTAATTGCATTTGCAATAGAATCGCAATTTATAAAATTCAATTTCCAAATCGCAGAGGCAATCAGTTTTATTCACAGTATATTTAACAAGAATAAGACATAAAATGTCTCACTCCAGTTCTTTAGGTGGTGGTATCACACCTGTATTTGTCACCACACAGAAAGGTAAATAGATTTGCAGCTAGCATGCAGGTCTATGCCCTTTTTCACATTAAACTTACAGTAAAGTCCTGCAACAATGGATTTCGGGCAAGCAAGCTTTCAAAAACTGAAAGCTTTGGGTAAATCATCTACAAGTGTGGAGTTAGTTATACATAATTGCAATTTAGATTTTTTTGGCAAAATCATTCAGCCCTAGTTCAAATTAGAAGCAGTATTTACTATTAATCTCACAAAGGTAACAGATATGGATCATGGAAACGCTTTCATTTTTACCTAATTGACTCACCCTTACTTGTTAAAGTACATGAATAAATGTCTGCTAAATGGGGGTACATTTTCGAAGTTAGGGATAGCTGCAAAAAAGTGAAGCCAACTAACATTAAGCAAAAGAAGAGGGAGAGCATATTTTACATAGTTATTATTTATATCAATATGTTGTATTATGTTGTAGCGCATGCTGAAGCACATGTATCCATTACTAATAGAGGAACTGTTCTTTCTTCAGCAGACATACTTGAATTTGTTTTGGACACACACACCATTCATTCACCATCAAACGGACAAGAGTGTAAAGAAGGCTGTCAACCTACCTGCAACATGATTGGCATACAGTAACTGTTCCAACACAGCTGTTTTACCAACTCCAGCCTGGCCGCACACGACGACTTTGCAGCTTTTTCCCATGATGGCTTCACAGTTTTCACTCACTAAATCTGTTTGTAAAAAAAAAAAAAAAAATCAAAGAATTTCAAAAATTATCTTCTTAGTATTTTCGTAAAAGTTCAAAAAATATCCACTGGATTTGGTTTCCAAGATTTGAAGACGTTTCGCCACCTCTCCAGGAAGCTTTCTCAATTCAAATGTCTGGATCCGCAGTGAGTTTGAGTCTTATATAGACAAAGCCTTGTATCACTTGGAAACATGCAAATGGTAACCGATGAATGGGTCGTTTGGTTCCATTGTTAGCCTGTAATATCGGGCGGAATGTCTTCAAATCTTGGAAACCAAGTCCAGTGGATATTTTTTGAACTTTTACGGAATGACTATGACCTGGATGACTGAGAATCTTCATCAGCATATCTTCTTAGTAGCAAGTGGCCCAATGAACAGCCAATATACGTACGTAATCTCTTAAAAATAAAAATACAAAATGGATGCATTGCATTTAAATACAAAATGGATGCATTGCATTTAAATAACACTTCATTATGTATATGTATTAAATAAATAAATAAATAAATAACCATGAGACAGGATAACAGATTTTGATAGGAATTGTAATCTTACTCCATTCTAAAACCTTTGCCACTTGCAGAATTAAGATGATAACTGTATATTTGGACAGAGGAACAGTCCTACTTACTGCTGGGGAAAACACTAGTTCTGACACACAACAAGCAGGTAATATTAGGGTGTAATAAACTTTAAACTTTCAGATTACAGAAGATATCAGATGGACTATATATATATATATATTATATATATGCACCTTTATTTCTTTTGGCACCTTCTTTTTCTCTTTTTTACTATTTAAGCTGATGAAAGGAGTAAATTTCTCCACTGTCTGTGAGATCATTAATATTTTACCTACAACATTGTAGTTTAGGTGTCAAAGTTTTTGCACGGAGTCATACTTTTTGGTAAGTCATTTAAAACAGGAAAATGAATAAATTAGTAAGTGATATAAAACCAACATCCAATAACAGCTAAATAAAACCCAGAAATAGCTTAGCATTAGCAGAACTGATGCAGAACCGCAATGACATGAATGACGCAATTATTCCTGTAAACTTCACTGATACAACAAACAAATATATGTTACAAAAATGCATATGACGTTATCGATTCGTTAACTATCGCTATCTTTTGTTACTCTACCGATTTCAACTTACCGTCGGTCCGTTTTCCTTAGCTGTCGGATCACTTCCTGTTTACAGTTTTACGTATCAACGACTGCAGTCAAAGGCCACGCCCACTCCCATTGACACGGCAAAATGGCGACGGAGGATTGTGATGCTGTGAACATGGACCCTGACATCGAACTGCTCAGTGACGAGGAAATAGAAAGGTGGGAGAAATACGGGGGTTGTCAGTGGCAGGAATGGAAACATAGCAAACTATCTCACCGTTACGTACCTCCAAATTTTCTTGTCATTTGCGTTTCTTGGGCTGGTTGGTGGCTAACTAGCTCGCTACAGCTAGCTGTTAGCTACGGTTTGGTAGCTTGGTCGGTCTTCCTTCCACGCCAACTATATTGACTGGTTTCTATGATTTGAGGAGGGGACTTTACTCATGTAGAGCAGAAGTTAACTCTGACGGTGAGAACTGTCTTCCCACCACTGTCTTTTTTTTTGTATTTTACTAGAATCGGTCACAGGTACCATTCTTCTTCTTCGTTTTTTTTTTTTTTTTTTTTTTTTTGCGGGGCTCTGATGTAAAGCATGACAGGCTTCCAAATAAAGTAATGGCAGTTGTACAGAGCATGGTGTCATATGTTCCTGGCTCTGCTCTTCCCAACCCGCTTCACAAAATAGCCACCTCTTCTCCAGGAATAGACTTTTCTGTTCTGCTATTTGGTCTCTTTCCATGTTTAGCTAATTCAGGCCAGAACTTTCCTATTTGTTTACATTGTCACGCACATTGGCATCTATACGTATCATTATTTTTCACAGAAATCAACAGAAACCCAGGTATTCTGATTAAAGGGAAAGTGAAATTTAAGCAAAAATCCGTTTATTTCATTCTAATTTATTTCTTTGTTGGACCAACTTTACACTTTTGTAGTAACATTCTTCTAAATATTGGAGTTTTTAGAATATTTTTTACTTCTTTGAGATAGTTCAAACTCTGTAAGATTGGATGGAAAACATTTGGAAAAATCTATTTTCAAGTTTTACAACAGATTCTCACTTAAATTTAGGTTTGGACATTAATTTTGCCCCACTAAAACAATGTATATCTGCTACACTCCTGGATGTAACTATTATGATCTAAACTGGGGGTCTCCTGAAAGTTTAAGATATGTTTATGCACTGCCACAGCTAAACTTCTGCACTTCCTCTGGGTGTAATTTTTTTCCAGACCTCTGGTATTGAACCATTGATTGGGTTCAGATATGATCAACCAGGGAAATATCTTAAAGGGGAATGCCAGTTTTTGTTTTTTTTTTACATTGGGCCCTTGATTTTATGTTATTACATCATGTTCTACTAACCCATATTAGTTTTGTGTCATTTGGAGCTGTTCTGAAGATATTCCGTTAGGTTATATCCAAGTAACGTCTTCCTATGGGCGATCGACTTGAAGGCACAAACTGAACTGTTCATAATTTATAATTTATGGTACGCCAGCATTCATAACATGTAGACGAATCACTGTCCCCCAGACATCCGCGGTTATATTTTTTATATTTATATCTTTCAAAAACGAAGCAGTGCGTGTATGACATCATCCGCGTGCACCAGTTACAATTCATTCATCCTGTCCGCTGAACTGCTGCTAGTTTTCCTCACATTCCTGGAAGATGTCTAGTGTTACTACCACAGATGATCTCGCTTTCGAAATGGAATTGAACAATTCAGATTAGCTAGCAGAATGAATAGAAGGGGTAGAGCGTAGCCGCCTGTGTCTTGGGCTGCCTGTTACGACTCCAGTCCGCATGCGTGAAGAATCATTACGCAATAGCTCTGGCTTTGAGCAGGCTTGGATGTTGGTGAATTTTTAGATTTTCAGTCACCTGATTCATCCTATTCTCATTTTTTCTTTAATCGTGTTTAATTTTCCTCTAACACCCAATTCTAACCACAGGGATGCAGAGGCCTTCAAAGAGCAAGGTAATGCATTTTACATCAAGAAGGACTACACAGAGGCATTCAATTATTACACTAAGGCTATTGGTAAGTTCTTCAAATATCCTTGCAGATTATCTTTTCTTCAATTGTCAGTTGCATGGGTGTATTTTTGGGTAACGGTCATCGAATGTTCCTTTTTTTTGTCTTTAGATATGTGTCCAAAAAATGCAAGCTACTACGGAAACCGGGCGGCCACGCTTATGATGCTGTGCCGATACAGGGAGGCGTTGGAGGACTCCCAGCAAGCAGTGCGATTAGACAACAGCTTTATGAAAGTAAGCCGCTGAAAACGAGAGCTGGAAGTGAACTTTTTTTTTCTTTTGTGTTGATCATTTTCAGTTTAATATAACCTTTAAAAAATATTGATATCTTGTTTTTTTATTTGACCTCTTCACATTCCCTTTAGTACTTTTCTTTCATATCACATAAGATATATATTACATGCCATAGAATTGTGTGTGTTTTCAGCAGTGTTTATTACTTCAGGCTCCTAACTTTTCCTCCTCTGTTCACAGGGACATCTGCGAGAGGGTAAGTGTCACCTCTCACTCGGCAATGCTATGGCTGCAAGCCGCTGTTTCCAGAGAGTTCTGGAACTGGAGCCAGATAACAGCCAAGCCCAGCAGGAGGTGAGCAAATCTGCAGTTTTCGAGTTTTATCTTTGATATCATTATTCTCCATTAAAATGTGTTATGAACAGATTTCCTTTGTTATACATTTATGATGCATGGAGAGAGGTTTAAGAAAGTTAAATTGAGCTGTTTCGCAGTTAAAAAGTGTTGAAGTGACTGTCAGACTGTTTCCAGAAATACCCCTGCTCATGTCAGACTGGTTTAACAAGGACTGATGATGTCATAGAAAGTGCCTGGGTATTGTGGTTTTGCTAATGTTAGTCCTCCACATTGCTTCTGAATCCTGAAAAATATATTTTGCAGCTAAAGAATGCAGAATCCATCCTTGAATACGAGAGAATGGCAGAGATTGGGTTTGAAAAGAGAGACTTCAGAATGGTAAGCTTCTTACTAGATTGTGATACAACTAGATAATACATTATTAAACTATGTGTTATAACATTCATTATACCACATAAGGCTAATAGGAATCATTTTTCATATAGAATCATGACCCTTCTGAAAAGCATGATCGTTTCCTGTGTAGCAAATGTACTTGTTGGCAACGCTTTTGCATAAATTACTCATCAGGGCATCAGACTCTGGCTCTGCTGAGGTGTGCAGAAAGCCGCTGTTCTTTAAGGTCTGACCTTCAGCTCTGCTGCATTGACTGCTTGGGTGTCTCTGGTCCCCTTCTTAACAATTCTCCGTAGTTTTTCTACTGGGTTTCAGTCAGGCCAGTTTGTTGGACAATCAAGCAAAGTGACTCTGTGATAATTAAAGCAGGTGTTAGTTGGTTTGGCTTTGTGGGTTTTTGGCAGTATTACCATAGTTGTTGTCGGGAAGGGAAGCTCTTAGTGCTCTAAAACCTCCTGGTAGATGGCTGTGATCCCTTTTACTTCATGCATCCATTTTGTTGCGCTTTATCCGGGGACGGGTCATGGAGGCAGCACCTCCTCCAGCTGCTCTCGGGGGGGCCCCAAGGTGACACCAGGCCAGCTCAGAGACATAGTCCCTCCAGTGTGTCCTGGTTCTTTCCAAAATCCCTCCGCCCAGTGGGACATGCCTGGAATACCTCCCAAAGAAAGGCGACCAGGAGGCACCTGAAACAGATGCCTGAGCCACCTCAGCTGGCTCCTTTCGACGTGAAGGAGCAACGACTCTACTTTGAGTTCCTCCTGGGTAACTGAGCTCCCCGGTCTCGAAGGGTGCGCCCAGCCACCCTGCAAAGTCAACTCATCACTCATGCTTGTATTCGCAATCTTGTCCTTTCGGTCATTACCCGATCTCATGACCATAGGTGAGGGTGGGAACGTAGATCAAGGAGGTAAATCAAGAGCTTTGCCCCCCCGACTCAGCTCCCTCTTCACCACGACGGTCCGATACAGCGACCGCATCACTGCCGAAGCCGCACTGATCCGTCTATCAATCTCACGCTCCATCCGTCCATCACTCGTGAACAAGACCCAGATATACTTGAACTCCTTCACGTGAGACAAGTTCTCTCCACCGAACCCTTTTGGTTCATCTTCACCTATAAATTACTGCTTGTCAAAAATCTGTGCCCCAATGAACAACAGTTACTTTCATCTAGGTGGGAAGTTTGTAACATCGGACCTTTTACTAATTAGCCTAGGGAAATAACTTCAGATGTTTTCACTAATTCAGGAGTGGCTTAACACAAGGAACCCAGCTATCATGGTTCACCTCCTGTAGAAGCGATACCCTGCTGTTACCTCTGGTGCTCCTACAACCTTTCCTTCTTACCCAACATTCCAGTGATATGCTTTGATTCAGAGCTCTGAACGTTGTGGAGGGTGTCAGTATCTGTCAGGTTCATGGTCCTGCTAACGGCTGTGTAGGCCAGAGGTATTTTAATGGGGGGAGGCATGGAGGTACTGAACGGGGGTTGTGAAAATGATCTGAACGAAATTATAAACAATTAAGGAAATATCTGTAATATTTCTTAAACTAGAAAAACAAATTCTTCATGTCTGACTGTTACACAACTACCAACAACTTATATAAATAACTGAACTGTGGAGTTATTATTGAATTCCTTTGGATGTTTATTTTTAGGCTGACATTTCTTCTATAACCCTCCGGGCTGAACAGGTTAAATCTCCGCCATCAGCACCTCAGTTTTCCACCTCATGTTAAAACCTTTTGTCAGCAACTGGTAAAAACCTTGGTTCTAACCAGGGTTGTTACGATACTGAAATGTTAAGCTTGATAAAAATAGCCAGGAAAATATTTGATACTCAATAGCATTTTTGATACTAAGGGGCTAAAAAAAAGTATGAGACATTTTAAATTTTAAAATATTTAATTCACACCAAAGGGAAAGTAAATAATAACACATTTTTAAAAAGCATATAAAGCATTTTTATGAACATAAAAACTCACGTTTTTCAATCTCAACTTAGAAAATGCTTTCCCAACAGAATCAAGGATGCCTGATAAAGAAATGCAAATAAATGCTAAATAAATACTAAACTTTAAAGACCCTTGACCTATGTAATCTTATGGTGATAATGTATGATTTGTATTGTAAAAATGTAGTATTTTTGATTGTATTTGGCAATATTTGTGTAATAAATGTGGTTCACTTTTTTCTCAATTAAAAAATGTTGTACACTGCAAAAACGTAAATAAAAAGTCATTTTTTCATTAAAAAAAAGTAGATTTTTACTCGTTTTTGTGTGGATATGTAATAAAATCTGCCATTGGAATGAGATGACTTACATTTAAAATAAGAAAAAACATCTTATTTCAAGTGCATAATATCTAATTATCTTATTTTAAGATGAAATATACTCATTCCATTGGCAGATCTTTTATCTATATGCTCTATTAAGGACAGTTAGATTCATCTTAAGACATTTACCGGTATATATTTTTGGATCAGTTTTTGCTGTGCACATAGGTGCATAAGCATTATACTTCTTCACCTATAGGAATAACAAATAAACAAAAACAGGGTAGTGAGAAGTATCACACCCAATCATGTAACTGTAGTGGAGGTCAGTGGAATTTCCTGTTTAAAAATAACTAAGAGCATCAAAAACATCTGACCAAATGACTGATGTCAATTAGGGCATTGCCAAAAGGATGTACTGAGAAGAAAAGTTTTAATAAACTCAATATTTGCCTTTACATGGTTTGATTTATGTTGCAAACGTTAAGTCTGATCCTTTTCCAAACCAACACATGCGTCACACGTCACATGCGCAAGACCACGCTCCCACAAGGTTGCTGCTGGAGGCCAAAAACAATATCGCCCTGTTTTTGTTTTAAGTGGTTAAGTTACCAAGTTAATGCGCTAAATCTTAAAGTTGCACATCATTAAAAAAAAAAACTGAAAGTCTACCCATTTGGAGTGAAAGTTTATATTACAGTCTAATATTTCCTTAGATAATTGGAATACTGAAAATATATGGCTTGCATCTAATATTATCACATAGATTTATATGAATATCAAATCATCTTACCCTGCTTTGCATATGCAATGGAGCATACACCACATAGCCATTAATTTAGCCTTTTATTAGCCCCATGTGTCCAGACACAAAGAGGTTCTATCCTTCTAATGACATGTATGCCTTCATTGCTGTATAAAGTCCTGTTGTGTTAATGAGATAATTGTAAATATTCCCATACTAAACAGGCGGCCAATTTTGAGAACTGTTAATTCACAGACCGTCACCTATTCGAAACGGGTCTGAAAGGTTTATGCTAAATGCAGTTAACTTTTCTGTGTACCTTTTGCAGTCCTCTGCAGAAAGATGATCTAAATTGGAAAAACTGACATGACAGTGCAAACTGTGTTCGGCTAGTAAAACAAACTTTTTGCCCTCCAGCGTTGCGCACATGACCAAAACTTCAGGAGGTAAACAATAACATTCAACGTGTCTATAGGATCCACACAATTACTTCTCTCTACCAAGTTGTATCATTTTTACATCCAATATATCAACAGTTTTATCTGTGCTGCCAACCTTAAATTAATAACAGTGGAAGATTGAGCCCACCATCAATTTTAGCCAGCTGTAAAGTTTTGTCCAATTCTCAGATGTTTCTTTTCCCTAATGAATGCTCATATTAGTACCGTAATTTTCAGACTATAAGCCGCGACTTTTTCCCCATTTTTCGACCTTGTGCCTTATATAACAATCTGGCTTATCTGTGGACTTTTACAGCCAGCAGCCACTAGGGTAATACCTAAATCTATGGATTTTACCATCCACCATGTTGACATAACATTTGCTTCAACACACAAGTACGGTAGCCGCGTGCGCGGGAATGCAGAGGTCCTCCGGAAGCAGAATTCTACGGCGAGTGGTACCAGACAGAACGACAGCGAGAAAGATGGACTTTGCGAGCGCAAGACAGTTTGTTTGACATCCTCATTGTGGAAAACAAATGTACCGGTAGAAATGCATACGATGCAGCTTTTAAGTTAAAGGCAGTCAATTTGGCAGTAAACGAAGGAAATAGAACCGCTGCACGAAAACATAAAAAACCTGCGGCTTATACTCCGGTGCAGCTTGTATATGTACAAATCATGCAATTTAGCTTCTGCGGCTTATTTTCAAGTGCGGCTAATAGTCCGAAATTTACGATATGTCCAGTTAGTAAAATGTTTGTTTTGAAATCTTCACTGGTAGCATCTAAAATAAAGTAGATGCTTTCAACTCAGCGTAACAAGGAGAGGGGAAGAGAGGACCATCGCTCTAAATCACTGCAAATGTTTTTTATTATTTTGGTGTACCTTGATTTATATAAATCACTTTGAGAAGAAGCAATATAAATACTGTTTGTTGTCATTTTTGGAAAATAAAAATCCATTTTAAAGTTTAAACAACAACCTCTGCAATGATAGTCAGGTAGTTTGAGAGCGAGAGCATCTTAAAAACAAAAAACAAAAAAAAAACAGATAATGAAAAGAACCTGTTTTCTCTTCAGGTTGTGTTTTGCATGGACCGTGCCTTGGAGTGTGCTTCAGCTTGTCAAAAGTTTAAAATATTGAAGGCAGAGTGTTTAGCCCTGCTTGGACGTTACCCAGAGGCACAGTCAGTTGCCAGGTGAGAATATAGTTTAAGATTAGTTGGTTTTTTCACCTTGGGAGAGTTTAATTTCTTATACCTTGTTGTTTTCTCCGCAGTGACATACTCCGAATGGACTCCACCAATGCGGATGCTCTGTATGTGCGTGGTCTCTGTCTGTACTATGAGGACTGCATCGATAAAGCTGTTCAGTTCTTTGTCCAGGCCTTGCGTATGGCTCCAGACCACGATAAGGCTCGACTCGCTTGTAGAGTGAGCATCATAATCATTATCTGTTTTAATAAAAAAAGAATAATATATAAGAATGTCTATATAAGACTCAAACTCACTGCGGATCCAGACATTTGAATTGAGAAAGCTTCCTGGAGAGGTGGCGAAACGTCTTCAAATCTTGAAAACCAAGTCCAGTGGATATTTTGTGAATTTTTACGGAATGACTATGACCTGGATGACTGAGAACCTTCATCAGCAAAAAAAGAATAACATCATCAATATTTTAAATTTCACACCATGATGTCTGTGCATGGTTTTTATAGCTGCTAATGCGGTTTGTCTTCCCAGAACGCCAAAGCACTGAAAGCCAAGAAGGAAGAAGGAAACAAGGCGTTCAAGGAGGGAAGCTTCGAGGCAGCTTATGATTTGTACTCAGAGGCCCTAACAATAGACCCAAACAACATCAAGACTAATGCCAAACTGTACTGTAATAGAGCCACAGTTGGATCTAAGGTCAGCAAAACTTGGATGATCTTTATTCTCTCTGAGTTTTATCGCTCTGTCATGTTGCAGCAAAAATCTTTAATTCCCCTGATCAGCATTTACAGGTGCTGGTCATAAAATTAGAATATCATGAAAAAGTAGATTGATTTCAGTAATTCCATTTAAAAAGTGAAACTTGTATATTATATTCATACATTACATACAAACTCATATATTTCAGATGTTTATTTTGTTTAATTTTGATGATTACAAATGACAACAAATGAAAATCTCAAATTCATCATATCAGAAAATTAGAATATTACTGAAGACCAATAAAAACAAAGGATTTATAGAAATGTTGGCCAACTGAAAAGTATGAACATGAAAAGTATGAGCATGTGCAGCACTCAGTATTTAGTTGGGCCTCCTTTGGCCTGTATTACTGCAGCAATGCGGCGTGGCATGGAGTCGATCAGTCTGTGGCACTGCTCAGGTGTTATGATAGCCCAGGTTGCTCTAATAGTGGCTTTTAGCTCTTCTGAATTGTTGGGTCTGGTGTATTGCATCTTCTTCTTCACAATACCCCATAGATTTTCTATGGGGTTAAGGTCAGGAGAGTTTGCTGGCCAATTAAGAACAGGGATACCATGGTCCTTCAACCAGGTACTGGTAGCTTTGGCACTGTGTGCAGGTGCCAAGTCCTGTTGGAAAATGAAATCTGCATCTCCAAAAAGTTGGTCAGCTGCAGGAAGCATGAAGTGCTCTAAAACTTCCTGGTATGTGGCTGCGTTGACCCTGGACCTCAGAAAACACAATGGACCAACACCAGCAGATGACATGGCACCCCAAACCATCACTGACTGTGGAAACTTTACACTGGACTTCAAGCAACATGGATGAAGTGCCTCTCTTCTTTTCCTCCAGACTCTGGGACCTTGATTTCCAAAGGAAATGCAAAATTTACTTTCATCAGAGAACATGACTTTGGACCACTCACCAGCAGTCCAGTCCTGTTTCTCTTTAGCCCAGGCAAGACGCTTCTGACGCTGTCTGTGGTTCAAGAGTGTCTTGACACAAGGAATGCGACAGCAGAAACCCATGTCTTTCATACGTCTGTGTGTGGTGGTTCTTGAAGCACTCACTCCAGCTGCAGTCCACTCTTTGTGAATCTCCCCCACATTTTTGAATGGGTTTTGTTTCACAATCCTCTCCAGGGTGCGGTTATCTCTCTTGCTTGTACACTTTTTTCGACCACATCTTTTCCTTCCCTTCGCCTCTCTATTAATGTGCTTGGACACTGAGCTCTGTGAACAGCCAGCCTCTTTAGCGATGACCTTTTGTGTCTTGCCCTCCTTGTGCAAGGTGTCGATGGTCGTCTTTTGGACAACTGTCAAGTCAGCAGTCTTCCCCATGATTGTGTAGCCTATAGAACTAGACTGAAAGACCATTTAAAGGCTTTTGCAGGTGGTTTGAGTTAATTAGCTGATTAGAGTGTGGCACCAGGGGCCATCAATTTTGAACCTTTTCACAATATTCTAATTTTCTGATATGATGAATTTGAGATTTTCATTTGTTGTCATTTGTAATCATCAAAATTAAACAAAATAAACATCTGAAATATATGAGTTTGTATGTAATGTATGAATATAATATACAAGTTTCACTTTTTAAATGGAATTACTGAAATCAATCTACTTTTTCATGATATTCTAATTTTATGACCAGCACCTGTAATGTAACAGATTTTTTATTTCATTTTTTATTCTCACTAACTTTAGAACAACATTCCAACATATACAGCCTCAGCAACAATAGGGTGTCTGACAATCAGGATCAGGTCCAATTTTCATTTATTTGCATAAAGTTTTTGAAATTGTCCATCCTGTAATGGGATTAGATTGGAAAAAGTTTAAGTGGAATGAATTCTGTAGGTCTTAATTCCTGCCATAAAAAAACAAAACAGTCCCAGGCCAAGCGTTTAGTGAGGATTATGAAATTTGGTACACACGTATAACCCAACAGGACACATAAAAAAAGTATTTTGGAGCTCATGTCCAAACCCCGCAGGAAGTCGGCCATTTTGGATTAAAGTTAAAATTTTCACTGTGATTTTGCACTTTATAGCCTCCTTATTTGAGCGAACTCCTCCTAGAGCTTTTGAGTTACAGACTTCAGATTCGCTCTATATTGACTTAAGCCATTGGGGATCAAAAGTTATCAAAGGAATTTTTCTACATTAAGCCATGTGGGCGTGGCCAAGCATCAAAATCTGACCTGTCATAATACATCATATTTGTATACCTTAGTATGCAAGCTCAGAGCAGTACATTTGTTCTGTATCATCTTGGAATAAAATTCACCCCAAACAGATTTGAAGATAGAATTTTAACCCCAATCCCAGAGTTCAGTAAGTCTAGTGTGTCACTGTTGGAAGTCCTTGCTTTTCTCTGTGCGCCCTATGGAATTAACCTGACTCCGCCAGATGGATTTGCTCCGCATATCCATCTGAAACCTTCCGTTGAAGTAATTTTGGGAAGGGGCGAATATACTGGTTAGCTGATTGGCCTATGTTGGTGATAGACGGGCCAAATAAACCAATCAGATCAACGAAGCATATGACGTAACAGAGCGACGACGAAGAGGAGCCAATTGATACATCAAACTCTTGCCAAAACCAGTCAAAGAGCAAAAACATCTTTTCCTCTGAGAAAAGCCTCCAGAGCAGTGTTTTGCTCTTCTTTCAGTGAAGAAATACTCTTTAATTCCGGTAAAACTTGCTCGATAGCCACGCTAATGCTAGTTTCATCAGCTGAAGCCGCCATGTTCTTAGACTGAACTGTCGCGCTTCTCGTTGTGTCACACCTCAACCCCCCTCAAAGCCAACGCTGATTGGAGATTCGTTTGGTGAACGGCTCCAAATTTCTTCAACTGAGAGTCTCCAGACTGATCTGAGTGTAACCTTGAAAGCTCGCGAGATCAGGATGGTCTCACGAGGCTACTATGGAATAGGAAATGGCTAGAACTGCTGTCAGGAAGGTCGGATTTAGGTCACACTTGGGTCCGAGTAGTGCTTAGCTCCAAGGGTCATCCAACGCCTCTTGCTTCTTTAATTGTTATTATTCTTATCCCCCTAAGAATAACTTTTTTGAGGCCATAACATATTAAAAAACTCATAAATTTTGCCAATAATTGTTCCCCATGAAAAATCGTGTGTTATCAATCAAATTAAAATTGGCTGTAACCAAATGGCTCCGCAGGGCCCCCCAAAGTGAGATGTGGAAAAACTTTAATACTAGTGATTAGGAAATAGGCACACATGTACATCTCCCCCAAATCATGAAAAAAAAGTATTTTGGAGGTATGCCCTAAACCCCACAGGAAGATTAACGTTTTTTTTTCCTTTCCTCTGCAGCTGAAGAAACTAGACCAGGCCATTGAAGACTGCACAAAGGCCATTAAACTAGATGAGACCTACATCAAGGCCTATTTAAGGAGAGCCCAATGGTTTGTCAAAGAGGCTTAACTTAGTCACGTTGAATTGCTTTTAACTTTTCAGAGCTCCTTAGAAAATGTATTGAGTCTGACAGCTCTTTGTTTAAAGTGGGTAAAGAAGTAAAACTTGTGCGTACTTTAATTCAGCTATATGGACACAGAGCAGTATGAAGAGGCCGTGAGGGACTATGAGAAGGTCTACCAGACAGAAAAGACAAAAGGTATGAATCTAATCGCTCTAAAGGATGTAAATTGTTATACTTTCCTTTTAAACTTATGACATAAATCCATCAAAGGCATTTTAGTTATTTCTTTTTTTACTCTTTAGAACACAAACATCTCCTCAAAACGGCTCAACTGGAGTTAAAGAAAAGCAAGCGGAAAGATTACTACAAGATCCTAGGGGTGGATAAGAACGCCACAGAAGAGGAGATCAAAAAAGCATACCGCAAACGAGCACTTTTACATCACCCAGGTGATAAAGGCCTCCAAACCTTTGTGATTCAGCATTTGCATCTGATGACATTATCTAATGTCTGCTGTTCCTTTCAGACCGTCACAGCGGAGCCAGTACTGAAGTGCAAAAGGAAGAGGAGAAAAAGTTTAAGGAAGTGGGTGAGGCTTTCAGCGTGCTTTCAGATCCAAAGAAAAAGGCCCGCTATGACAGCGGACAGGACCTGGAGGATGACGGCATGAATATGGGAGGTCAGTGCTGGGGCGGGATGGACTGGGAGGTTATACTGGTGATCAGGTTGATATGCAGAGTCGTACAGTGATGCTGCTGTTAACTAGTTGTGTCAACTGTTTTGTTTTTTTTTTGCCAGACTTTGATGCCAACAACATTTTCAAGGCATTCTTTGGAGGACCAGGAGGTTTTAGCTTTGAAGGTAACTAAAGGAAACGTGCTGCTGTGATTTTTGTGTTTGGATGGTAAAATATTTTAATACTTAATACTGTTTTTTCAGCATCTGGACCAGGAAACTACTTCTTCCAGTTTGGCTAGTCGGAGACATAAACGGCAACTACATCAGGACTTTTCTACAAGTCACCCCCTCTACCCACCATCCGCATTAAATAACTGACTAAAGAATCAGATTCTTGACTATGCCATTGACTGAGCGAATGCAACCCGACGACCACAAGCAGTGAATTATTTACAGCAAGGACACAAAGATGACTCAGTTTCTTTTTTTCTGGCAAAATACAACTAATTCAAAAATCTGTAATTACTATCAAAAATCCAGAATGTGTGGATGATTTTTGATAGGAGCAGAAATTTGATCTAATATGATTCAGTATGGGAAGTGCCATCCTGGGGAAACTGTTCAGATGCAGCAATTCATTCAGCAAGCTGTTGTTTTACCCACTTTTCTGCTGAGGGAGTATTCTTTGCATGAAATTTGATAACTTGATCAATGGTCTCTGAGGAAAATCACTGAGCATAGGCTATGGGGGCACACTATTTTAAAGTAGAATACAGCTGGAGCTCATGACCCACACAGATGGCGTAGCTGGAACACTAGAGAGAGATGGAGGCTGAGACATCCATGCTGGAAGATCACCTCTCCCTTTTGCCATCACTGGTTTTATGTTTGGTGTTGCCATTCTGAGCTTGCTGCAGTGTACATTTTACTGGAATGTAACGTGTTAATTTGTGATGTTAACATATTTTTTTTCTTTTTTTATTCTCATTTCTATATTTATTGTAAGTTTGCTGTCAAAAGAACTTTGATATACGATGAGGATATTTCTCTTTCTAAGAAGAAAATGTATTGAGCCTTCCACCAGGATGATGATGGATTTGCTCGGTTTGCATGAACTCTTGCTGCCTTTGTTGGAAGTCGATCCAAGACATCTGTTAATCAGAAATGTACACACATAGGATTCATATCATTAAATTCCAGATGTTTTATTGGTTTTTGGCTTAGGCGGTCAGACCTTTTGGAATATTTGAAACCTGGCAAATTCCTGATTTGTTCCTGACTTCTTTCCCCTCAGTTTTTGCCCTTTGGAATCCATCCTTTCTTTACCTTTAAAACGTTCCAGTCGTCAATAAAGTTGGCCTTCTCTGGGTTTCCCCAAATATTCTGCTGTTTGATTCGTTTTTATTGGTCAGCAATAATAAATGTAAGGACGTTTCTTTCTAAATGAATGAATGCTATTGATAAATTATTCAGATTCTATGAAATAAATGAATTTCACAATAAAGTAAAACTAAAATATTTTGAAATGCGTTTTTCAAGAATTGTTTACTTCCAGTTTTATTGTTTTGAGACTTATTTTTTCAAAGCTACTTTACATATTCAAATGACTTTTTTTACACAGTTTTTTTTTTATTTTTAGCCTTTTTTATTTCATCTTGTATTCCAGTCAAGGGACGGAGTTTATGTGTGTGCAACGCTGGTCAGAGGTCAGTGATGTAGAGGAAAACAGGAAACATTTTTGCACAATTAGAGAAGGAAACAGTTGTCCATTTTTAGCAGCCTTTTGCAGAATGCTTTCTAAATTTATTAAACTAATTTGCAATGTCTAAAGATGGAAGCATTTCAGACTTACTGACAGAAGATGCAAACCGTCTTGACTGAATGCTAGTATGGCGGAACAGAACTTTAAATACAAAACGGTTGAAAAAGTCACTGAAATATTTGAAGTAACTTTACAGAATAAAATAGAAATAAATCTGGTTGTATATAAATAAATCTTGAAATAAATAAAAATCAAACGAGATTTTGTTTAGCTTTAGAGTGACTTTAATCTCATAGAATGTTAATTTATCAATAGTATTTATTTATTTATTCATATATTCATGAAATTAAGAATGAAATAGCTTTCCATTCCACATGAAGCAGCTTTATGAATAAATGAAATGTGCCACAAGGGGGCGCCATAACCTCGACTCTTGTTTCTGTGGTTGCTAGGTAACGCTTTCATCAACTCACCTTTCGCTAGTAGCTAAAACTCAGGGTTAAATTAAATGTCCTTCATGGAAACTCAGAAGAAACAAAAGCAGGAAACTTTTGAGGATAAAATCTCCACGTTGAGGGCTGACGGGGAATGGAAACTGCGGCAAGGAAAATACAAACAAGCGCTCAGCAGCTTTAGTGCGGTTAGTTAAATGTTGCTTGGCTGGTTAATGCTTATTTCCGATACTTTTTAAAGCGGTTGTTTTTTTTTAGGTGCTCGATTTAATCCCTGAAGACAAGAAAAGCTTTGTTGATCGATCCAAGTGTTACCATCGGATGGGTGAGTTTAGAAATGCTTTAATAGACGCTGAAGCTTCACTGAAAGAGGACGCTTTACTTCCTGAGGTAATTTCCCCCCATCATGAGCAAAGATTAACAACTTCTCTCATTTATTTATGTTTTATATTCCGCTTTTTTTTTTTTTTTTTTTAGGGGTTGTACCAAAAAGCAGAAGCTTTATATTCCATGGGAGAATTAGAATTTGCGCTGGTTTTTTACCACAGAGCGCACAAGATTCGCCCACAGATACAAGAAGTCAGGCTTGGCCTCCAGAAGACAGAAGAAGCAATAAGAACCCATGTTGGCAGTTAGTGACATTCTCTGGAACTGTGGCTTTTTAGAGTTTAAATAATCAAAATGTAACTTGATTTTTCCTGAACCAACCTGCAGGTCCTTCCTCTGTCAACCTCGAAGTTAAGGGAGATTTATCATACCTTAAAGATAAGGAGAAGGTAAGTGTTTAGATGTCTGTACTCAAAAACTGACAGTGTTTGTCAGTTTGGGGGTACTGCATGGGGACCATAGGGACATGTCCCTACCAGAATTTTGGACCAACCTACTTGTCCCTACTAAAAATTTGATGTAAATAAGATGTTTATAATTGACAATACAGCTTTGTTGCAGCAGTAGAGGAATTCTGGATGGAGAATATTGACAGACGAAACATTTTTTTATCTAAAATGCTAAATGTTTATTTATTTATATATATATAAATATATACATTTTTTTTTTTTACAATTTTGGTATTAATTCCTGCTCCAAGCGGGTCGCTCTGTGAGCTAAAGACATCTTTTAGAGTCTCTATACTCCTGTTAACGATTAATCGATTATTAAATTTGTTGACATTATTTCAATAAATGATTAACACAATGAATTGTTTTCAGCCCTCAGTAAAATAAATGAAATGGGTTAAACAGAGTAACTAAAGCCTAGATGTACAACTTGTAGAGTGAGGTTAATATATTAAATGCTCAGTGTCAGTTCCTCTTCTAGTTCCAGGGCACATGTAAATACAATACATTTGAATCTATTATTTCACTTTGTTTCATGATTGAAAGAGAACATTTAAAAGATAAGATTGGATGTTACCTATGTTTACCTCTGCACAAGTCTATATCTTCTAAAATAAAGTATAAATCCACATATAATAGACATATTTAGACTATATTCTGTTAAATAGGCACAGATTTACCTACTGTCTTATTTGCTGGTAATTTCAAATGCAAACCTTTTCAAAATGAAAAAAAGTCCTATTTCCTCATTCATCAGAGCCAGATCAGCTTTATTCATTGATAAACAGTATCTAGTGTGTGTAGTGCTTATAAAATTTGTAAACATGTAGCAAGAAATGCTGCTTTTCTCTTTAAATGAAATACACCCTGATTTTCACGTCAACCATAAAAAAACGAGCATGCATATTTTTGCATTAGACCAATGACATCAGACCAACAGTGTTCCTACCAAAGTCTTTATCATTTCCACCTACCTCTGCTGTAAACAAATAGAAGTCACTCATTGTGTTAAACTTTTGTTTGATATGTTGTTTTCTATCTGTGTTTTTTTAATGAATAACCGTTGAAGAGAGAGCATCCAATTGCTGTTATCCAGAAACTGACAGAAGACAAAGAACATCAAACTTCAGAGGCCTCGGAGAACAAGAAGACCACCAAACAACTGCTGAGCAACTTTAACCTTCACCAGAAATTTCTAGAGAAACTTCTGAAAGACCAAGGTTTAACACTGTCCATATATCATCATTTGTCTTTGTCCAATTCTCTTCTATATGTTGATGAAAGTCAGAATCTTTTCGCCTATGCTTAAAGCTTTTCACCCACTTTTACTTTAAAAATATTTTCTTCAAATGTTTTCATTTTTAAATACTTTTGCTTAAAGCTGGTATACAACTCCGTTCAGATTTGGCTAAAGATGAGACAAAGAGTCGAGAACGAGTGGAGAGCATCATTCAGAACAGTATCACGTCTTTATACAACTGCGCTGACTTCAGGAGTCAAGAGACGCCAATTTCCCTGAGAGAGAAGAAGGATCGGCCGAAGCTGCAGAAATCTAGCTCCACCTCTGACAAGGTTCAGTTTCTCCTGGGGAGCCTTGATGAGATGGATGGCGGTAAGTTAGGCTTCTGGCTGAACATGTTGCTCACTCACATTTTTTTTTTCCTGTGTAAAAGCTTCTCTTATTGTTCTGTGTGTCTTCAGGGAGTGCAACATGTAGTCTGAAAAAGGCAGAAGATTTAATAAAAACAGTTCAAAGATATTCAAAGAAAGTTTGCCCTATTAAAGAAGAGATGATGTGTTTCCTGCATAGCTGCATTGGAAATGCTTCGTTTGACTTGGGAGACGTAGATAAAGCTCTGGAGCATCACTACAAAGACCTGGAGTTGGCTAAACAATGGTAAGAACCTAAAGAAACGGAAAACTGAAGTCAACGTTGCCTTTTAATATAGAGACGATCTTTTAAGTGATCTTTCTTACCAACAGCAAATTTCAAGAAGCTACTTCCAGGGCTCTGGGCAACATCGGTCGTATCTATGCTGAAACTGAACAGTTTCTGAAAGCCATAGAATCGTAAGTAAGGAAACATTTTTGTTTTACCGGTACTTCCAAACTAGAAATGATTTCAATTTTTTTCTATTCTTTCTCTCTTTTATTGTATTCAGATGGGAAGAGAAGATTCCTTTTGTTCATAATGATTTGGAGAAGGCCCGGTTGCTTTATGAGATTGGCTGTTGTTACCTGGAGCTCAAGCATCCTGACAAAGCCAGAGAATACGGCCTGCGATCTGTCGCTGTGGCGGAGGACATGTCCGATGACAAGTGGCAGTTAAGAGTCCGAGTTTTACTCGGACAGTCAGAATGTAATTATTCATCTTTTTTCTTATTCCAGGTTTTATAGTAGATTTTAACTTGCAAACTTATTTTCTTAACCTATTAAAAACTCTAATTCTGTTTATTTGAGTATCGTTTGATGTTTAAGATGATGTCACTGGTTTTTTTTTTAGTGAATCTGGGGAACTTTCAATCATCTGTATCACACTATGAGAAAGCTCTGAGTCTGGCTAAACAGCAAAACGATGACACTGCACAGAGCAAGATCCAAATAGTTTGTTTTGTAATTCTATACTTACAGTTTTAGTACTTTCTAAGAGCATTTTTGCATCTTTGAACATATCTCATTTTTCTTTTTAGATACTCAATTGGAGCACAACAGCATCTGCCTCACTGTGGAACCCTGCAACAGAGCGCAATCAGAGAACATCCATTCACGAGGATCTTATTTAACTAAAAAGTGCATAAAGGGTTTTTAATTTGTTTTGGTGTTTTTACCCCATTACACTTTTTTGTGCATCCTTCTTAAAATGAATGTAATCCATCTACCCTTCCCTCTTTTCTATGTTCTTTACGTTAAAAGAGTTCTAGGCAAAAGGGATTTTCCCAGCTCTCATCACTGTTCTGATGACAGTGTAATTGACTTGGAATGATTACCCTGTATTATCTCTCTTAAGGAAAATTAATTTGGATCAAACAAATAAGACGGCCTGCACAGTAAACTCAAATGTACTATGCAAAAAATACATGTGCACAGAAAGGAAAAATAGGATAAAAAAACTGAGAAAAATCTAATCTCTTCTCTGTATATTTTGGCAAAAATAACTTCCAAATGGCCAAAGTCGAGTGCAAACTAATAAAAGGAAAAAAAAAAAATATATAAGAGCTCATGAGAGGAAGCCTCAGATGATCATTTTTGTATGCGGCTGCAGCACTGCATTGAAGAAGCACATCAGCTTCATACATTAGTCTAGTTGTAAAAAAAATAAGAAGGGGGATGTTGGAATTATTTTTTTTTAAGCATACATAGCCTAATTAATATAGTCTATTAACCTAAAGCAATATGCTTGGTATAGTTGTTACATGTCAGGTACGCCGGTCATTGACCTTGACCAAGGCACCTTACAGTAGAACAGCAGTTAGTTCCTGGACTGGCATGGCTATCACTGCCCTACATAGTTAGGGACAAATTTCCCACTGGGATCAACTGTATAGTCATGGTAGGACACTACTTGGATTTTATTTACTTCGTTCAGGCTACTTGTAAGCCCACAGCCCGCAAATGTTAAAAGGGCAATATTATTGCTATTACTGGCTTCATGAGACTAAAGATCCATCCATCCATCCACAGGCAGGGTACACCCTGGACAGGTCGCCAGTCTGTCGCAGGGTAACACGAAGACACACAACCATGCACACACCCCCACCTCTAAGGATAATGTAGGGAAGCCGATTTATATAACAGTCATGTTTTTGGATTGTGGGAGGAAGCCAGAGTACCCAGAGAGAACCCATGCATGCACAGGGAGAACATGCTAACTCAATGCAGAAAGACCATGGGCCGGGGATTAAACCCCAACCTTTCTTGCTGCAAGGCAACAGTGCTACCCCCCACTGTGAGCCTGAGGATATTTTTCAAAAGTGGTATAATATTTTTGCCTTCTTTATACAGAGGACCCATTCCTGTGAAGTCCTTGTTATTGTTTAGATATTAATTCTGTAACCTTTATGACTTTTTCAGGCATATTGTGTTTTATTTAGACTTAGACAACTTTTATTGTCATTTTGTAAACACAGTGTATACGAAATGAAATATCGTTTTGTACAGCTTTCAGGCAGTGAATGAGCAGCAGCTTAGCAGCAAAATGAACATTTTCATTTCATAAAGTGCAGCACTGATCAAAAAATATTATTTCTCAGAGTATTTCACGGCAGTTATGTATGGTGCAAATATGCAGTGTTTTGTTAGGTATTATCAGTGTGATGCAGAGTAACTTAACATAAAGTCCCACTTTATCCTGGTGAAGGTTCTCAGTCATCCAGGTCATAGTCATTCCAAAAAAGAAATTAAAAACAATCCACTGGACTTTGTTTTCAAGTTTGAAGACGTTTCGCTTCCCATTCAGGAAGCATTTTCAAGACCCCATTCCAAATGGGTTGACCCCTTCATCTGTTCCAATTTACATGTTTAAAAAAAAAAAAGGCCTGTTGGGCTACTGTATAAAACCTCAAACTCAACACTACTCCTGACATTTTGAATTGAAAAAAGCTTCCAGGATGGGAAACAAATATCTTTAAACTGGAAACAAAGTCCAGTGGATTATTTTAAATTTTCTTTTTTGGAAGTCCCACTTTATTCTAAAGCTATAATAAGAAAACATAGACCTTTCTTGTTTATGCAGAATAACCGGTGTTTTAGATGGCCAGACTTATTGATAAGGCGACATGATGCATTAGCTTTGCATATGAGATACCAGCCTTTCTTTGTTTTACCAAATGGAGTTGCAGGATGCACTCAGTCCAAATATGCTATGAGAAACACTGAACGAGCATCACAAACTATTATAGAAACATGCATACACATTTCAAAGCATTTAAGAATAAAAACACATTTTGTTTTACTCTTTTGGAATCCATTCAAACCATATTTAAATAAAATTGGATGATGCTTCAGGCTATGATACAAAAACTCAACTGATGGTGAAAAGGAATCATAGACCTTTTCTAGTTCTGAAGATCTACTTGATATATTTCAGCAACCTTCTGCAGATAGTTAAACTTGTGCCGGCTCATTATTTGCAGAGTATTGTTTACCTACTGAATAGTGCTATCATGTTCAGTATATGGACTCGATACCTGGTTGCAGTTTACTTTGCATGATTTACTGCAGCAGTGTGGTAAAAGTTATATATCAGCCTCTCTATAAAGTTGGTCAACAACCATGGTGGAGTGCTTTAAGATTTCCTGGTACTTCACTCCCCTAACCCTGGCTGTAATAAAACACAGTGGACCCACATAGCAAATCATATGACTGAACATGCAGAACTTCACACAGGACCTAAGGTAACTTGTGGCTTTCCTTCCTTTCCAATTTTACAAAGAAAATCCTACATTTGCTTTTATCTGTAAATATAACTTTGGATCAGTCTTTTTTTTCTTCCTTAGCCCAGGTAATAAACACCTAACATGCACATTTTATACCATATGCAAATTGTGCAAAGCCAATTTTGAAGTAAAATTATTGACTGCAGAATATTGAAGTAAGCCTTGACATTTCTGCATAAAAAAATAATTTTAAAATCGTTAAGTTGGTATATAAATTATCTAATGTTCTAAAAGATTTAATGAGGAGTTCATTGTGATTTTGCATAGTTTCTACCTTTTTCAGTTTAATAACATGCTGCTGTCATTTTGCACATCTCTGATGTTGCTGCTATTTTTAAATATCCATTACTGTAAAAATAGCTGTATATTGGTAATTTATTCTGCAGGTGCACAGTTTTTTTTATTGGTACAACACTTTACAGTACAATATTTTATGGTTTATTTTTTAACTCTTCACTAGTATGTTATTCCTATACATTTTTCTAAGGTCCACATTTGTGTGAATATCTTTTTCTATAATCTTTTTTGCTACTGTAAACACCAGAATTTCCCCATTGTGGGACAATAAAGGGATTTTCTATTCAGGGGCGGAGCTGGATGGGGGGCCATGGCCACCCTTAGCCAATCATTGGCCACCCCTACCATTTTTGCTTGTGACGTCATTGCGTCCTCTACTGCGCATGCAGGACACTTAAGTTGTATGAATGCAGTTCACACAGGAGGTCACATACAAGTCGCATATATTTTGAAATGTTAACGGCAACGCAAAAAAAAAATCGGAATTGAGCATCAAGGCCTGCAGTTTGAACGTAGCCTAAGAGTCTTCAGTGAAATCATAGATACTGTAAGAACTATTTAAATAAAAACCTATTAAATTATCATTTTATGTAGATACTAATACTTTTGAATATTTCAATTTAATGCAGAATGATATTGATAAAAGTTGGTAAGTAATTACATGGAAAAGATGTTCACTCCAGAACTCAAACCTAAAAGAATTTTATCCAGTATACCTTTTATCTGGACAGATGTTTAAATATATGAGTCTATTTGTTAGCAAAGGCTGTAGGAAACTATAGTTTGTCTTTATTTAGAAATATGGACTTGTGCTTGTTCCTGTTGGAACGGTGTAGATTGACCCTGAGGTTCTGGCGCTGATCAACTTTTGGCCAACCCTCAGTATACATTGGTTATTGCCTGGCCACCCTTATAAAAAATTTTATGGCTATGCCTCTGCTTCTATTCTATTATTTTAAGGCCCTAATCAGAGACAATGGAGAAAAATCAATTGATTATTCATTTAATAAAATTATGATTAAAAATGTTTGTCTTTTCTTGGAGAACAAAAACAAAACTAATCATACTGAAATTTTATGGTTTATACCAGGGGTCTTCAATGTTTTCCAGGCCAAGGACCCCCAAACTGACCCCCTAATTATATATATTGTATGAAATTAAGTTATATGAAACTGCTTCCATAGTCACTCTATTACAGATGGAGTAATGTAACAAAACTAATTTCACCCTGGGATTATTAAAGTATTTCTGATTCTAATTCCTTGATGATGGGACAGGTGTTGCGAATGAAACGGTGCCTAGCTTGAAAGAGCTCCTGTGTGTCCCTGAAGGTGTGCATTGATGCCTGAAAGACATCTTCTGTCTCCATTTATCTGTTTACTACATTGTGTTGAATTCATGTTAATGTATAAGACATTTCAATTAGTGGGAAAAATTGCAGGAAAAAAAAAAAGTCTAATCATCTCAAACTTTCGTGACCCCTATGTAGTACCTCTGTGGATCCCCTAGGGGTCGCGGACCCCCTGTTGAGGACCTCTGGTTTATTTATTTATTTTATTAAAAATAAAGAATATCAATGACAATCCAATCTCAAACAGTACGTCTATAATGAACATTACAAGAAAAAAAATAAGATCACAACTCCTATTAACTTCAATAGAAATTTGATGTTAGAACAAGGGAAAAAACAAAACAAATAAACAAACAAAAAAAATATATATAATTAAAATATTACGAAGAGGGGACTAACTGAAACTCTTCCATTAAACCAGACAATTTATTTGATTTAAGGTTCTGCATCTTTTTCATTCATCGGTTAAAGGAGGAAAGTTTGTTTTTGATAGCAGAGGGAGCATTTTGCATAACGACATTTATGGATATAATATTTGGTTATAATCATCAAAGCATTAACTAAGAATTCCACTTTTTTTCATTGATATATAAACCAAACTGAATTATTTGTAAGGAATTAAATCAAGACATCTGGTTTAAGCTCTTTCTTCCTAAGAACAAAAAAACTCTCCTTCTTCCGGTCTGCAGGGGCGTGTCATTAGCCCCGCCTATTTGCGCGCTCCCGGGGAGTTTCCGCTCCTTCTCTTTTTTTCGCCTCCTTCCTTGAACAGAAGAGCGTGCTGGTGTCCCGGTGTGTCGCTGTTGTGAGTCATTGTGCTCAGAGGGGAACGCGTGGTCAGCAGCACCGTTGGCTTCACTGCAGCCTTTCTGGTAAGCTGCCATGCTAGCTCTACTTAAAAAAAAAAAAAAAAAAAGCTAACTTTCGTTTTCCGTTAGTAAAGTTGACGCCCTCTGTTACCATTTAACTTATATTCGTTTAGTTTTGCTATTTTTTGTGTCTCTTCAGTTCAGACACGTTGGCGAGGCTGCAGATGCAGCAGCCAAATTAATTAGGGGGGGGGGGGGGGGGGCAGTTTTTGTCTGGCGTGCTAATGTGAGCGAACGCCACTCCCCGCGTGCCTGAAGCTAAACGTGCCATCTTTAATCCACAACCTATCAGTGTTTCCTCTGTTACCTCTTTGACATCTTTTTTCAACCATTGGTGTTAACAAATCCCAGTTAAGCTCAAACATATGGTACTGTATGTCGGTGGGAGGGTTACTTTTAGCCATTTTTGTTGCTCTAAAAACATAAACTGCATAGTGAATTTCCTTTAAAACCCTGATTTTTTTCTTTTCCTACGTAGTTTCAGTTGCTGTTTCTAAGCAGTGAAAATGGGGATATTGATATTGGGCAATTGCTTTATTGCTTCATTCGGTTCAGTTGATCTCTTCCTCATTTATTGACTCAGTTCAGTTTAATAAATCGTCTCCTTTGGAGCTAAACTTCTCTCAATTTGTTGTTAATAGGACCAATCCCCCGTTTTTAATTAGCCTTTGTCTGCTTTGCTGTATTCAGTTGGCCTATATTTCTCTATGCTTACTCAGGATAAAGTCAAGCTTGTTTACCTGAACGCTTTGAATAACAGTTTACTGTCCTGCACACATACATGTAAATATAAATTTGAATAGCTTACTTGGTGCTTTCACTTCTATATTCACAAGGTTGCAAAACTCCGAACTATAAAAGGCAGCACTAAAACAAGAGATCCTACGTAGCTGCACTATTTCCAGACAGATCTTCATTTTTTCACTTTGCTTGTAAACCTCTGATATTAATTAACTTAATTTTTGCCATTAAAAATGCATATGGAAGTAAAATCAACAACATATTCAGTTTTTATCCTGTTTTCCTGGATATTATTTGTCTAAATTCAAACATTTCTGGTATATTCTCTAAATTTAAATGCTTTTTTTTTGTTTTTCCTTTAAGGTATCCGTTGGTGTGCAAAGTTGAACTTTAAATCATGGATATAGACCAGAGCGAGGTGCCAGAAACTCAAAACCCAGAGGAGAGTATGACTGAACAAAGGGAAAAAGTAGAGGCAACGGTAGCGCCCACGGAGCCTGAGAACCCGCCAGCTGCTGTGGAAGAAACTGACCAGCTGGCGGTAAACGGTCATGCTGCAGAAGTGGAGAGCACACAAGACGCAGAAGAGCCAGCTGTGGCAGAAAACATGACACAGGAAAATAAAGATGTGGTCGAAGGGGATGTGAAAAAAACAGAAGAGCAGCCAATGCCCCATACAGCCGAATCTGCAGAGTCATCTGAAAAGGTCCCAGCTGTAGCTTTAGAGCCAAAACCAGCAAGCACAGAGCAGCCGGCGCCAGAGAATAACCCAGAGAAGCCGGCGGAATCTGCGCCGGAGCCCGAGAAGCCGGCGGAATCTGCGCCGGAGCCCGAGAAGCCGGCGGAATCTGCGCCGGAGCCCGAGAAGCCGGCGGAATCTGCGCCGGAGCCCGAGAAGCCGGCGGAATCTGCGCCGGAGCCCGAGAAGCCGGCGGAATCTGCGCCGGAGCCCGAGAAGCCGGCGGAATCTGCGCCGGAGCCCGAGAAGCCGGCGGAATCTGCGCCGGAGCCCGAGAAGCCGGCGGAATCTGCGCCGGAGCCCGAGAAGCCGGCGGAATCTGCGCCGGAGCCCGAGAAGCCGGCGGAATCTGCGCCGGAGCCCGAGAAGCCGGCGGAATCTGCGCCGGAGCCCGAGAAGCCGGCGGAATCTGCGCCGCAGCCCGAGAAGCCGGCGGAATCTGCGCCGCAGCCCGAGAAGCCGGCGGAATCTGCGCCGCAGCCCGAGAAGCCGGCGGAATCTGCGCCGCAGCCCGAGAAGCCGGCGGAATCTGCGCCGCAGCCCGAGAAGCCGGCGGAATCTTTGCCGGTGCCCGTGAAGCCGGCGGAATCTTTGCCCGAACCAGTCGTTGAGAAGCAAGTCGAAACGCAGGCCCTTAGGCAAGAGACGGAACCAGAACAAACAAAGACTGAGAATGAAATGCCATCTACTGTGGAGATGAAGAGCGAAAAAGAAGCAGTCACAGAAACTAAGGTTGTGACCAAGGCTTCACCTGAGAAATCATCTGAAGCAGTTACAGCGGAAAAGGAACCATCAGGTGGAGGTGCTGAAGATAATCCAAAAGAAGTGAACCTGGATAAATCAGAGTCTGTTAATCTTGAGGAATCGCCAAAAGAAGGTGAAGAAGCTGAGCCCCAAAAAGAGGAGGATCAGACCCCTGCACCCAATTCCCTTTCTTTCCCCCTACTGGAACACGACCAAACCAAAGATGCCGTACGAATTTCTCGCACACTTATTGTCCTCAGGGGCCTTCCTGGAAGCGGTAAAAGCTTCTTGGCACGAGCTATTGCAGAAATGTACAAAGACCAGTGTTCTGCTCTCTGTGCTGATGACTACAGCATAAAGCCTGAAAATCCTTCAGCTGAAGGATACAAAGCTCTGGATGATGCCATAGTAACTCGCTGCTCTGAGGGGGCGTCCTCCCCTCTGCTGATAGTGGTTGATGACACCAATCACACCCACGACCGGCTCGCTCGCATGGCTGAGATTGCTGAGGAGCACACTCTTATTGCCCTGTACTTGGAGCCGCAAACCGAATGGAGCAGAGACCCGAGTCAGCTGAAGAAGAAAAGCAAACGTGGGCTGGAGGAGGCCCACCTGGAAGGAATGAAGGGTCCCCTGGAGGAAACCACAATTCCTCTTTTCTTTGGCTGGTTTCTTCTCTCTCCAGTACAGGTCAAGGTTGGTTGCAGTTCTATGGACTTCCTAAAAACACTGGACACCTTGGAAGCCTTCAAAAAAAACATAGCTGACTGTGAGTGTCTTTCAGTGACTAGGAGGATTTAATATTTTTATTACTGAAAAATGTGACCCTTTGCTTTTTATTCCAGTTACAGGACAAGCTGAGAAGGAGGTGGACCTGGAGCAGTACTTTGAAGCCAAAGGATCTTTCCACTGCACCACAAAGTTCTGCAACTATGGCAAAGCCGATGGTGCGACTGAGTATGCAGGAAATCCAGTAAGGATTGTTCCCCTCTAATAATAACAACAGAGAGATTTTTATTTTGTGTTAAATGTAATTTTCTGTTTTTTTTCCTGCAAATTTTCTAGGTGGTTAAGAAGTCCTACGGTTCTGTCTCTGAGCTGTCGCTGACCGCCCTCTTCGTCACACCTCGCACCTTTGGGGCCAGAGTGTGTCTCACTGAAGAGCAGCTCCAGCTTTGGCCAGCAGATACGGAGAAGGAGTCGGAGGCGAGCATCCCCGGATCGGAGTCCCTGCCTGCCGGAAGCCGCGCCCACATCACACTGGGCTGCGCAGATGGTGTCGAGCCGGTTCAAACGGGCCTCGATCTTCTCCAGATCCTAACCCTACCAGAGGGGGAGGTAGTGGAGGAGATGGAGCTCGGCTCGCTGCGGTATTATGGCGAAGGGAGGTGGATGCTCAGCCTCAGGGAGCCCATCTGTGCTGCAGCTTGCTTTTCCAGCTACTATGGACGCAAGGAAGTGGAGCCACCTAAGAAAGAACCAGAGAAGAAGAAGAAGCAAAAGTGTACCATTCTGTAGATGCAAACCAGTGTTTGTCAGGGGGTGTGGTTGGTGAATTAAACTCTAGGCTTACTTGGTGATAGGTTGGTGTGTTTGTGCAACATTTAGGTTATAACCGCCCTGAATCCACAAACTGTGCCTTTTTTTTAAATGTTGTTTTGCACCACTACCTAAGATGCCTTAGTCAGCGAGGCTTGTTATTGGTTCGGTATTTATCACACGTTCCTGTTAGGTGAAGTTTTCCTTAGCATAGCCTCCTCCCACAGCTCTGGTCTCTTCTGTAGGACAATGACAGATGCACTAGGTACTATGATTGCATGCATCACTGGTTGTATCACTAAATTACTCCCATTACTAATGTAATAGATTTAGCTCTGTTTCTCAAACAATGTCTCTTTTACCGTCGTCTCATAAGTCTACGTCTAGTGAAGCCTAGGAAGAAGTGATTACCTTCTGGACCAAAGTTCTGTATTTAGTGTTTGATTCAGTTTCAAATGCCTGTAAAATCTAATCCCTGTGCTTGGCATCAAAGGGAGATTGCTGATCAATTTGCCATCTGTTTCAGCAGCTTGCACTTATGAAATGCTGTGAATCTTAAGGCAACATTTTGCAACCCTTTCTACTGCGCAATCTTTTAAAGAGTGCTTCCATGTACTGCTTTTTGATTTGTATGCTGTAGCTGTAATTTTCCTGAAGGGTATTTTTGCTTGTTTTGTACGCAATAAAGACTACATGCTTTGCTTAAATAGTTTGAGTGAGGTTCGTAGATGTAACGTTGTGTGTCGCACACACTACACAATTTTTATCTTAGGATTAAAGGAATAGTACACCCAAAACATGATTAGCCTTCATTTTCTACTCACCCCTATGCTGAACAACACTCTGGAGTACTTTTTTGATATCTCAAATGCATCTGCGAGTTCACGACGCTACGGAAACCGCGGCAGACCAAACCAGATGAAAGTGCGCATTCAGCTCAGCAAAGAACTCATGCTCTTCCTCAACACTGAAGTCCTCAGACATTTTTGTTTCTTTCTTTGCACAGGTAAACAGCACATTTCTTCTTCTACGCTTGCATTATCGGCAGAGCAGACGCTGAATGCACTTCATCTGGTTTGGTCTGCCGGCTTCCGTAGCGTCGTGAACGCGCAGGCGCGCGCTTTTAGGAAATCCTATACACTACTGTTTATGCTCTAAAAACATTCTAAATGACTTCGTTTCGAGTAAATTATGGACGCTACCCACTCAGGACACTTGGAATACATTGGACGAGCAGTATGGAGGAATATTGACACGTTTTTTGTGGACTTTTATGGACCTTTCTGCCTCGGGCACCATGGACCTCCATTATTTGAATGTCAGCAGACAGCAAGAAGCCTCCCAGATCTCCAGATGCATTTGAGATATTAAAAAAGTACTCCAGAGTGTTGTTCAGCATGGGGGTAAGTAGAAAATGAAGGCTAATCATGTTTTGGGTGTACTATTCCTTTAAGATGTATTCCTCTAACTTGTTGTTGGAAGAATAAGCCAGCAGAGGGCGTTGGTGAACAACAGAAAAGCAGCTAAAGAGATTGCTGTATGTGCACTTCTTTAAAAAAAAAAGCGTAGAATATAATTTTATACTCTCTTCCCAATAGAACCTTTTTTAATTTCAGCCTTCTCTTGACAATCTTATATAAACCATCCAGACATTTCTTACCTACTGGCAGCCTGTGATGTAACAGCTTCTCTGCCCTGGTGTCCTGTAATAACCTGACTTTGGTTTCACATTCATTGCAAAAGGAAGGTTTTTTGCTTAAATGCTTGCAAAGTAAACAAGTGACGAGTACCAATTTTACACCATGGGGGATCTTGATGTACTCCCAACATTCCTTTGAATTTTAAAATTTGTCAAAAATATTAGTGATCTAGACTGGTAAAATCATAGGTGAGTCATTAAAGATTTTGGAAAGGCAACTTCAGTGTTATTTCACATTTTGCCTGACAAAAAAAAAATGGTGAAATCTTGCAACAAACAAGCCAATTCGGAACATTAACATTGATGCAACTGATTACAATCTAAAAAGGTGCTAGAGTCTGCGTGTAAATATAAACTTTTATACTAGTTTTCAGGTGTTTATTTTGGCAATTTGTAATGCTTATGTTAAAAGATAATTGACCCTAAATTTCAGTTTATTCTTGAAATTAGATAATTTTTGAAAAATTAATTAATATCACAGAAATGTTGTCAGGGTTTACGCAGGTCATTAAAAATTAAGTCATTAAATTATTTTTTAAATTAAGGCCTTAATTGGTATTAAAATTCAATACATTCAATACCATTCAATACATATCTCGATATATTTGAGTGGAACTGCTTCCGGTTGAACGCAAAGCTGTAAATTCAGAAAAGAAGCTTGAGGCGGAGAAAAGGCTAGAGAATGGGGGGGGAGCAAATTTCAACAAAAGTGGTTGGAAAACGAAAGAATCCGGGACATGGCTGCAGCCTGTCAACAGGTACCTGATGGTGGCATTAAAATTATTTCTAAGAGCATTAAAAGAGCATTAAATTTGAGTTATTCCTGTATCCTGGGGAGAGATTGCTGTCAAATGGTATCAACCTCCATAAGAAGAAACCTTTTCAGGTGGAAGGAAAACGTGCATAAGCATGAAATCCAAGCTCTGGTGAAAAACTACCAGTCTGTGAAGATGTGGGAAGTTCTTTTGTTTTGCTGTGTTTAATGGGGCTGGTTATGCTACTGCAGCAGTGTGCAGACATCTACCAGACTGCTCTCATATGGACAGTTGATAATTAGCAGGCCTGCCAAAACATAAAAAAAAAAAGTTTGGTTTACCCTGCAGCCCCTGCTTTTCTGAACTCTTATCTTTGTGTTTTATCAGTTTTAAAATACTTTTTAGAAACTAAACTTTAACATATTAACATAACACATTTAATGCTCTGAACTTCCATATCAATGAGTTTTTTTTTTCACCAGGTTTTTTATTCTCCCACACTGTTTACATTTTATCACTGCTGCATTTAAGGAATAGAAATGGCATGAAAGCTGTATAAAGGAAATTTCAAATTGTATACGCTCTGTGTATACAACATGACAAAAGTTTTCTAATTGTTGTCAACATTAAAATAAATGGATTCCCAAACTGTACCATTGTTTTTAAACATATGATATATGAATTAACCAATTTGACACGAGTTAATAAAACTGACTTTTTATTTGGTTTCAATTTTCCTGTAATAGTGAAATGCATTTTTTTTTTTAAAAATATGAGTTATTTTCAAGAGATATATATCAGTGTTGAGAAACAAAACAACAAAAAGCTATAATTTTAAATGCATACTAAAACAATAAAAATACATTCAGTTATTTTTATTATGATGCATTTTCCTTTTCATCTATTTAAATACATTTTGTTGAATATTCTAAACTAAATCTGAAATCATTTTCTAAAGATTTGCGTCGTATTGAAATTTCCTACAGTATGTGAATGCAGCAACAGAGTGCTGGTGGGATGAGCCAATCAGAGGCTAGGAAACGTCAGCCAAGGCTGTGAGGAGAGAAAGGAGGGGGGTGTCTGACAGCAAGCCTTTATATCAGGCAGCAGACTGGTTTTACAGGCTGGTTCTACAGGCTGCAGCGGAGCAGCAAACACATCCACTTCTACAACTGCAAAGAAAACAAGGTAAAACTGTAAGAAAGACTTTTAAATCTACATTTGTCTCCAATTTCAGACTTCCTTTATGTTTTTAAGAAATTACATAAACAAGATTATTTTGATCTATGACTTTACCCAGTCTGTAATCAGTCTACTTGTCTGATCTATTTAAGACTAAATGTTTTATCTTTATTTTGTTAAATATAAGTGAATTAAACAATTCAACTGAACCTTTTTTATTTAAAGGCCAAATCCTTTTTCAACCACACAACTAAGTTTGTATATAAAATTTCTAATTCTGTGCCTTTTTTGTATTGTGTGTGTGTGTGTATCCTCTCCAACCATCCATCATGCCCTGGTTTTGATTAATGCTACTGTCTGCCATCTCCACCAGTGTTATTTTGACTGTAGAAGTGATATTTATTACCTCTGAGGGGCCAGGTAGAGAGAAGAAATTGCACGACTCATGGAAACTGATAGAATCTTGGATTAAACATCCTCCTGGCTTGGAAGCAGCACTGTGGTGACTCTGGAGGGATCAATAATGAGATAGGTCCTCTGCTGTCCTATTAATCCATTTAAGAAATGAATGTCAGAGCTGCAGAAGAGAGGGTACAGCTGGGGTAGACATCAGGGCTTTCAGCTTAATGAAACACAGAAAGAGATGGCAGGAGCTCCATTCCTGCAAGCTTTTAGAGGGACTAATTAGTGCAGGCTTGTCATACTTAATATCTATAAGTGAGTAAAAGTAAAAATAGTGATAAAATTTACATCAATGGACTTAGGGACTCGGCTAGACATCCATATCATAAATGTATGGTGTGAAAATCTTATTGAAACATAGATCCAACCTTGATAGATAGGCTCATTATTTAGGACAATTTCTTAGCATTTCTGCAATTTAAACAGCAAATTTATACCACAGTTGTTTCAATGTTATATGATAATTACTATAGTTAGTGGCTTTTACCAACTAATTATGTTTGTTGGATGATAGTCAAGCTTTTGTCTTATTCAAATTATGAACATTTAGATAATTACTGTTCTTTTGAGCTCAAATTATTATTAAATTTGATAAAATAAAGGGAAATATAGGGAGAAAAATGTGCTGCCTCTTTTTAGACGGATGTAACAGCTCTAGATCCATCTGTAAATGAAGGGATACAATTTTAATTTATGCACAAACAACACAAAGGTCCACAACCTTTATCTTAGCTTTACTCATATAATTTAAAAAGTTATTGGGTGTAAAAAAAAAAAGGCTCTAAAAAGACTGAATTTGTCAATTTTTGATTGTAGCCAATCTAAGAGAAATTTGCCTGAAAAGACAAGAACACAAAAAAAGCATGCATCCCACATCTTTATTAAGAACATTAACAGCAAAGAAGATCTGAAACTGTTTTTTTTTTAAACTGATCTTTAAATCATAAAGTGTATCTGATGTCGACCCCCTTGGAAAACTAATAATTATTAATGATCTACCTCATTAAATTAAATTGAAAGCAAAGTACTTTAGTGAGTCATGCCCGTTGGAAACTTTAGTTCTGTGAGAGAAACGTATGTTAAGGGTACAAAGGCCATTCAGCCATTAGGCTGTAAAATTTATAGCTATTATCACTGCATTGGTTTATTTTTTTCCTTTTTCTTCTTTCCTTCACCTTCACTGTGAAGGTGTTAAAATGTTTCACATTAGATCAGCCTGAGCTTCTGCTGGATGGTGATATGTGGCTACTGAAACCTCAGGACTCTAATTATCCAAAATTGTCTCATTTTTATCCAACAACCAAACAAACTAAGGCTGATCTCTACGTTCTTACATATGAAAAAATCTGAATCTATGTGTAATCTGATCTCTATTAACTATACCATGCAAAATTATATATGCATCTAGAGCCTTTTGTTAGATTTTGTTACAGTAGAACTACAAACTTGAAACCTTTATAGGGAAACGATGCAGATGACCAACACAATGCATGACATTGTTCTCAAGCAGAAGGAAAACAGTTAAGTCAGTTAGGTCTCAAAAGTTAGGTGATGTGATATTCTGTCCCAATTTCACACATGAGAACGTAGATGTTAAATGTTTTCTAATAAGAAAATATAGTCCACCTTTATGTGTAAGCCAACAAATTTAACAGGGGGGCGTGCAGGTGGCGCAGTGGTTAGAGGGCACGTCCCATGTATGGAGGCATTTGTCCTCGATGCGACCGACCCGGGTTCGAAATTTGACCTGTGGTGCTTTGCTGCATATCTCTCTCCCTGTCAGCCTACTGCCAAAAAAACGAGCCACTAGTGCCGAACAAAAAAAAAAAAAAAAAAAAAACAAGAGTTCTGTTCATCTCTTGAGAAGCCAAATTAATCTAGATGTCAGCTCAGATTATTAGCATTTAGCCTACACAAGTGTAGCTATTTTTGGCAAGACCAACTCCATGCTAGCCTGGGTGCCATTCCAAACTTAGTCCCGCCCACAATGTTTGAGGTCGGGAAGTTCGGTCTGGCATTGCTCAACAGTAGCACGAGTATGCTCGCACAATATCTGGCGGGGCCAATCAAATTGTCAGGGCGGGCTTTATACGATGATAGACAGATGATCAACAGTAACGTAATCAACCACGTCACCAAAGCGCGCATGGGTGACAACAACAATGGCTGCCGCTGGAGAGTTGAGGTGTGTAGATTCTGCTATTAGGTCTGTTCTAGAAGATATCGACAGCAAATTAATTTTAAAAGAGGAACAGAGAAAAGCGATCAAGGCTCATCTTCTTATTCTAGGCGTGCAACTGCACGCTTTGATTTTTGTTGACAACAACTATGCGTCGCTTAACATACGTCACGCACTCCGTTGCTCTTATTGGTTGTAGGTCTATCCAATTGAGTGCAGAGGCATTTTTTTTCCTGGTTCATTAGAAACACGCCCCATAATCACAGCTCTATGGAGCAACATCAGACTCATATTCTGACTAGAATTGAGTGGGACTACGTCAGGCTAACTCCATGCTCCATGACTCGGCCACATTTAGACCATGTTAGGTATAATAACATGGTCTAAATGTGGACCAGGTATAATATTAATGTTTATTGATCTCAGATTGGAGAAATTCACGTCTGCATTTAACCCATCCCTTTGGGGAGCAGTAGGCTGCCATTGTGTGGCGCCCGGGGAGCAGTGTGGGTTTTTTTTTTTTTCTCAGGAAACAGAGAGTAGGCTGTGGGGATCAAACCAGGTACTTGCAACCTTCTCAGAGCAGAAGCGCACTTCTCTAACCACTAGGCCAACACTCCACAATGAGACTATTGAACATTTTATTTGCACCTAAAGAAACATCCCAGTATGAATCTTGGTGACACCAGCAGCCAGCTTTGACCAAACACCGTATCTGATTAAATTTGATGGAAAGGTGCACATAGCCAGAGCTACAGTCAGACGGTTTAAAATAGCTGAGTTTTTTTTTTATATTAATATCTATTTACTGTGAAATGTTGATGTACCGGTATAAGCACTGCTTTGTATAATTTCATCACATAAAATCTCAATAAAATAGATTAAATGTTCTGGTTGAAGTGTGATAGAAAATGTTAAAGATCCAGGTTTATAAATAAAGTTGGAAGGTATTTTAAATGCTATTGAGATTTACTGTTATTTGCTCTTTGTTTCACAGAAAAAATTTGCTTAATCATTTTGATGTTTTTCAGTGAAATTGCAAAGATTCATTTTTATCAGAGAAAATGAAACGTTGTAGTCTCCAAATGTACTGTAGTTGCTGTGGTGAGTGGTAACATCTCTGCAACATCTCATGGACGTCAGCAGAGTCCGAATTTGTATCATCCTGCATCAGATGTTGCTTTTTCAGAGGCAGAGTGTTCTTCTAGTGATACTTTGCTTCTTAACCTTATCTGAGTTCACATTTTTTAAAGGTTTTTTTTAAATGACAGTTAAAAATGTTTGAGCTGCCCTCATTATATTTTCATCAAACACATTTCAGGTAATTCTGCCCACAGAAGAACCACTTATTCTTTAAGGGAAATATTTATAAATGTTCTGTTAATGCCTTAAAAAAAAATCTTATTTTTTCTGACATTCCTCCTTGTACCTCTCATCATTTATCTGTTTTCCCATCCACCCCCTCGACACTCGCCTCCTTCAGGCCGGTATATCTTGAACAGTCATGTCGGCCAAAGCCATTTCCGAGCAGACGGGGAAGGAGTTCCTCTACAAGTACATCTGTACATCAGCTCCAGTCCAGAATAGGTTCCGCTACGCCAACGTGACAGCTGAAACTGACTTTCAGCGGCTGACGCAGGAGCATCCATGGCTGCTCACAGAGGTGAGATTCATGAAGATGACGTCCTCTTTTAGCCTGTTGAGCATCTGGAGGAAAAAGCAGGGGGATGATCCCTGCTCCATGGAGACGATTGATTACTCAGGAAAGCAGTGGAGCGGTCACTTGGTGCTCGTTAGCTGAAATCACAGCCTAGATGGTGATGCTTCAGCTCTTTTAGTGAAACTTAAAAGCCCAGGAGACAGAGAAATCCCCACAGCTGAGTAGGAAGTATTTCTCCTCCTCTCTTTGGATGCTCTTAGCTGCAACGCTGCCCCATACTTTTTATAGAAGCTAATTTAATTACTTAGTTATCTTCCAGAGTAAAACGTCATTCTCCCTACGACTGTTTTTATCAGGAAGGTAAAAGGAGGATACAGAGGGCAGATCCACAGAGATTCCTGCTCCGGTAGAATTCATTAAGAAATCACATTAAGTTTCACCTTTAAACCTCTCTTTAGCTGCTTAATGGCAAGCTCTCAGTTAGTAATAAATCCACTGTCATTAGTCTTTGTCTTCATTTGAATTATACAGAAAGGGACGTTTGTGTTGGTTTGATTTTAGCTTGCTATTACATCATCTGAAGTGGTTTTCTTGATAGGAGAACTTATTGTTATTACCCTATTTGCTGATGATCCAGCGATTTATGAGAGCTGCTTTAGTAAATATGTTTCTATTCCTCTAATTCTGAAACATAGTTATAAAAATGCTTTAAACTGGGTCACAGTTTAGTTAGTAAAGTTTTCTCTAAGAATTTATTTATATGGAACCATTAAAATGAAAGGATGGTTTTCGTATTTTTAATAAATACAGATCTGAAAAATATGGCGCATATATATATATATATATATATATATATATATATATATATATATATATATATTCATCCCTCAGTCATGTATTTGTGCACCTATGAATTCAATCAAGGACAGACAAAGAATTTGGAAGTTGCTTAGATAGTTTGCTTTAATACCAGCATAAATCTATCTGCCTTGTTAAGGGCTCACCGGTTGGTAAGAAAACATTAGTTCAAAAAAGTGCATCATAATGACCAAAGAACACAGTGAACATCTCAGAGATTTAATTTCTGAGGTTTTAAAGCAAGCTCAAGATATAAATAGAGCTACACAACATTAATATCATCGAAACAATACCCTGTACCCTTTCTGTTCCAAACAAAAGCATTTATCAGAAAAACCATTAATCAGCCTCAAAATAGCTGCGTTCTTCAGGATAACAATAGAAGTTCATCCCATCTAGGTCTGTATCTTATAAGGGCATCTTGATGACAGCCTTGATAAGTAAACGGTTTATTCAAAATATGTTTGCATGTATTTGCTAAGCAGTAATCAAACCTAAACTTTATGGAAGATAGATTAATGTTTTCGAAATACTTTGTAGGAACCACAGTTACAGTTCTGAAAAGATGCTTTGGTCAAATGAAACCACAATGTGTATTTGCCTCCATGCAAAATGAGAAAAATATTTTGCATACAGGCAAATACTGTGGGGCTGAAAATAAACACTGTAAACCAAGCATCCCAATATTGAAACACGGTAGTGCCAGTATAATGCTGTGGTTATGCATATCTTACCAGGAAGAGGAGAGTTGGTCAACGGTAATATGAATGCAGATCAATGCAGGAGAAGCCCTTCCAGCATGAAGATGATCAAAACACACAGATTGACCTGCAATGGAATGGTTTGAGTTGTGTAAAAATGGCCCAATAAACATCCAGATCTAAATCTAATTAAGAACACATGGCAAGACTCGTAGAGAAAGGTTAGACACCATTTAAAGTTGGTTTCCCCAAAAAACAGACAACAATTAGAGTCTCTAGACATTGAAGGCTGGTGGAGCAAAAAAATAAGAATTTTGGATTTTTTTATCCCGGATTATGTTCTTGTTTAAAGAAGACATAGAAGGCTGCAATTTTATAAAATGTATGCAAAACCTTCGAGGCACTTAATAAAGTTAATATATTTATGTTTAACTGTATTTTATCCCATCATTAAACATACTACTAATTGCTATTTTTTTCATTATGAATTGGACTTTAGGGCCTAATTAGTTTAGAGAATTAAGACAAAAAAAAAAAAACTTATTTGCTTATTAATCTGTCAAAATGACAAATACTTTAGAATATTTGAGTATTTTAAGTATTTCAGCTTTAATCATAATGCATGCTATCTACAGAGATGTTTTGTTTTCTTCCTGCAGAGACTGGTGGTGAAGCCGGACCAGCTGATTAAGAGGAGGGGGAAGCTGGGTCTGGTTGGCGTCAATCTGGACCTGAATGGGGTCAAAGAGTGGCTGAAGCCCCGCCTCATGAAGGAAACAATGGTACGTCATGCAGCCCTCCTTGGCCCCTCTGCTGTTTCTCACACTGCTACATCCACTCGACTCCCTCCATTTGATTCCTAACCAGTCTGGTTTTTTTATTGTTATTATTTTTCTTTTCGTTGTCCACTATCCCTGTACTACACAAGCATTTCTTTTCCTTAATTTAGCGTATGTGGTATTGGCCAGATTTATATAGGTCTGTGCAGCTGCACGTTCGTCTGCAGGTACTAAATCAGTCCAGTGATCTGCGGCGGGCTCCGTCGCTGAAGCAACAGCCAGTCCATCAGTGTAGCTCTGAGATGGTGCTCTGCCTCATAAACCGAGGAGAGTCTATTTAGGGATTAGATTTCTTTCCCTGATAAATCAAGGAAAGTGTTTTTGTTACCATGAGACCGTAAAGATGTTTGTCCTCAAAGATCAGATGAAACCGTCAGCAGCTGCTTTAGTGGCAGTAAATTAGAATAAATGTCAATGTTATAAGAAGGATATCGGGTTATTCCATCTTTATTCTGAATATTTAACCTTCTTAAATGTCATTAATTATTATATATTTGCTCTCCTTGTACAAAGAATACTGGATCTTAAAGCTTTTAATGAATACTTGAATTTACTGCCGCTTTGAATAATGCTGGTAAATTGTGACACATGCCTACAGATTATTTAAAAAACATTAAATTTAATTCTGTTTTTACTCTGAGGCACAAAGGAAAGTATTTTCTTAATCATCCATCTAGATTTTGAGTCTGATGAGAGGTTCTTAACCTGATAGCCTTTTTTAGTTCCCACCATCGTTAATCCAGTTCCTCATTCCATTATCCTTGTATTCTTTGAAATGGGATCTCTCTATTTCTTCTCATCTCTCATTCATCCGATTGTTATTCTTTGTGCCTGTTGGCCTTTAAGAGGGAACAATGACAGCTTCCTCCAAATGAGCTGTTGGCGTAGCTCTAAATGACATGCTTCCTTTTTTTTAAGAATGCCATTTTGT